GGCCCTGTCTCAAAAAAAAAAAAAAAAAAAAAAGACTAGTCTGAGCAAAGCGAGGCTCTGTCTCTATTAAAAAATAGAAAAGCTGGGCGGCACCTGTGACTCACAGGGGTAGGGCGCTGGCCCCATATGCCAGAGTGGCGGGTTCAAGCCCAGCCCGGCCAAAAACTGCAAAAAAAAAAAGAAAGAAAGAAAGAAAAGAAAAGCTAGCTAGGTGTTGTTGCGAGCCCCTGTAATCTCAGTTACTTGGGAGGCTGAGACAAGAAGATGTCTTGAGCCCAAGAGTTTGAAGTTTCTGTGAGCTATGATGCCCCAGTACTCAACCCCAGGGCGACTGAATGAGATTCTTGTCTCAGAAAAAGATTCCTTATGGAAGCTCCATCTGTCTGCTTTTTGTCATTAGAACCTTCTCTTTGATCTTTATTTCCTCCATAAGCCTACGATTGCCAGTGTTTTCTGTTAGGTTTCTTGATATCTTATTAGACTATTTTAGCTTCTGTATTCAGTTTTCCCTAACATATCTTTGTGCCTAGTTTCTTCCATTTTTTAAATCTCTTTTTATGCAAATCTCTTTTTATGCTTCTTCCCCCAATGAAAAACTATATTTCTTCTATTCATATTATGCTGTCTCTGCTAATTTGAAGCTAACTCACCTCAAGAACTTTTCATGGCTTGGAGCCTGTAGCTCAGTGGTTAGGGCACCGGCCACATGCACTGAGGCTGGTGGGTTCGAACTGGGCCAGGGCCCAGCTAAAACAATAATGACAACAGCACCAAAAATAGCTAGGCGTTGTAGCAGGCACCTGTAGTCCTACCTACTTTGGGAGGCTGAGGCAAGAGAATCACTTAAGCCCAAGAGTTTGAGGTTGCTGTGAGCTGTGAGCTATGATACCGTGGTATTCTACTGAGGGTGACATAGTGAAACTGTCTCAAAAAAAAAAAAAGAAAACAACTTTTGATGACCATCCATCCTTGTTTAGCTGGTGAATGTAACTCTACTTTGACTCTTTCCTGGGATCAGGGTTAACATGAAAGCTTACCTGGATAGCACCTGTTGTGTGTAGATAGTCCAAATGTGGTGGTGTCCCTAGCCCCACCAGAACACAGAATATATTTGAAGTCTGTGGTTCCATCCTATAGACACTGCCATGTCTCGTCACTATGCAGTGCATATTATCCTTGGTTTTCCTCTATTGTTTGTTTCTGTAAACTGTTTCCTTTTAGAGTAGCCAAAATCAGCTATAGTACCATTGTATTACCCAAATAAATCAAAAGAAAACTGAGATACATTGTGATTTAGGTCTCTCTGCTTAAGTTTCATCAAAACTGAGATTCTTCTGTTTTAATAAATAGTTTTTGAATTCTTTAAAGGACTATAATTTATCCATCATAGGTGTTTGAATCCAACACGTTGAATATACATTCCAGCATACTCTGCTTTGGAAAAAATAATGTAACTCCTGGACTTGGTCATGATACTTGGGCACTTCATTTTTCAAAGCCTCCTACAGCACAGCCTGATTATAAACAGGAAGAATGTGGCCAGGAACCCACAGCAGAGCAGAATCCAACACCAGGTCTTGTCAAGATGTTCTAAAGACTGACTATAGCTTGGTCTAAGATGAAGTTGCTTCACTTAGCCAGGCGCCCAGTGAATATTTTTTTCTTCATTGTGTATATGTGTATAGGCATTCATTTTTCATTTTCTTAAAGCTGAAAGGGAGTTCCTGCTCACCTAGCAGTGAACTAAAAGCTATGTATATCCCATTCTTGCTGAAAGTCATAATTTGACTCCCACTTTTTCTGGCTCCCCTTACTAGGAAAAATCACTTATGAATCAACATAGCTTCCACATGAAACTGACATAATTTCTCTATTAACCAATTGTGTGTGAGTTAATTGGTTTTTTTTTTTTTTTTTT